TTATAATTCATTTCTGCACCAAAAACATATTTGAGGGTTATAATGTTGTTCTGTTTAAACAAAAGTCTAGAATTGTGAGGTCACTGATGATTTCTGTAGGTAGAACAGAGTGAGATTTTTTCAGGTTCTCCCTTCCCTCTAGACCATGGGTCCTCAAATTACGGTCCGCGGGCTGGATCCGGCCTGCCATGCCCATTTATCCAGCCCGCCTCAGAGGTTTTGGACTCGCTGCACATGCACACACACGGTGAGGCAAGACAGCGGCTTGTTCATGTGGAGATCATTTTGGACTTGCTCGGAGAAAACGATCACTGTGTGAGCAAGCCGCTGCCTTGCTGTGCATGTACCTGGTGGTGGCTTGTTCGCGTGGAAATTGTTTTGGACCCGTACCAGCCCGCATCCCCCCGCCCGCACCACCTTGGCAGCCTGTGCCCATCGCCGGCTCTTTCAACTGGCCCCCTGTTGAAAAAGTTTGAGGACCTGTGCTCTAGATCCTCAAAATCTGCTCTGTAAGGAAGTAAACCCTACAGATCAGTGTGTGAAGTGTACTGGGGAAAAGAGGAATAAAGAAAAAAAGTACTTCTTCACCCTTTTGTTCCTGAAGGAAGCCTTGCTGAAGCCACTAATAAAAACCTATCCATTGGTCCAAGGGCAGCTGGTTTCAGCCACTGTGTGCGCTTTGAGAGGATCTGTGTTGCATGGATGACCATGTCATTAAAGTTGTTTCCATTACATATAGTTAACATTCAGTGGTTGTTGTTGTTGTTTTTTTTTTACTTTGCAGAGAAAGTATGCACATACAACTATAAAGACAAACAAGGGGAAATCTACATCCCTGTGCACAGAGACAGATACAGATATTTTCAGTTCACAATAGGATCTTGTTTTAATCTCCATCTTTTTACAGGCAATTCTCTTAAACAGGATTTAGAGAGTCAGTTTATTTAAAAATTGTAAAGGAAATGTTTTACTGAAGTATTATGTCCATATTTGGAAATGATGAGCTAACTTTTAACATGGCAAAAACAGAATCAATTTTCTCCTTCCCTAAATAAATGTATTTCAATGTATTTTATCATGTTGTAAGCCGCCCCGAGGTTTCGGCAAGGGGCGGCATAGAAATGTTATAATAATAATAATAATAATAATAATAATAATAATAATAATAATAATAATAAATAAAAAATCAGGAAATGCTGACAAGTCATTCCAGCAATAAATGAAGGGATACATAAAACTTCCATAGTCACTACATAGCAACACATCATTCTAATGTTAAGTTTTAGTATCTCATTTGTAAATAAATAAATGAGAATACATGAGCCTGTTCTTAGTAGGGTTTGGTCTATTTCCTCAATTTTCCAAGACCACCTGTTGTGACTTTAAAATGGAGAGAAAAAACTCAATTCCAATATCAACACCAGAAGTGAGCTTGCTATCAACAATCAACATCAGCATTGTAGTGGGTACAATGGGAAAGATGTGTGAATGCATAGATGACCACTCAGAAACTAAAAATACAGGAAGTAATGTGTCTTCCTTCAAGTTTTCTGTGCATCACACATTAGAAGGAATAGCAAGCTGACTTACTGGAGGTGGGTTGATCTCCTTATTGCAAAAGAAAGGGCTGTGCAGCGGTAAGCCCTGGCCCAAATGTTTAGTTGTTTGTGCCAAATAAATGTTAATGGCTTCAACCAAGTTGTAGCACAACACAGATTTGGCAAAGTCATATCACATCCACACACTTGGTGGAATCCGCCTTTACATGGCCAGGGAATTCAGCTCCTGCTACTTTATATGACAGATTCATAGTTTGTACCAACCCAAGAGGCACAGCATTGCAATGAAACAAAGACCATTCTTGTTACCACCACAGCAGATGAAAAGTCAAGGCAATTGATGAAAAGATTTCATCCTCAATTTGTAGAAAGCCAGTGCCTGGAGAAAGTGAGAGCATGCAAGATCAATTCTTCCCGGGAAGTCAGAGGTGAAAAGAAAATGGGTAGGTTAATGTTTTGATTTAGATGAAAATCTGATATTACTTCAGGCAGAGGCATAATATCCAGATAGCAAATCACCAAATCATTATGAAAAACTATGTAAGGCAGTTGTAGCTGCAAGGCAGACCATTGAATAGATGGATGAGTAGATGAGATGTCAACAAGGAATGCTACCTCCCAAGAAAGGAGATGAGGGTCAATCATTGCAAGCATCTCAAATGGCTTTGATGTTAATGATTGATATATGCTATAGCAATACTGGTTTCTGAACTAGTGGTGCTAGGTTCTGAACTCCTTAGAGGAACTTGTGATGGGAAAAGAATCCTAGCAATATGTGCAAGGCTGTACTAGTAGGATGATGGTCTCAGAGTAAGAAGTGTTTCAGATTCTCTTCAAAGAGAAAAATAGAAGGACATGAAAAGCAGAACAGCAATGGTATGAATACTTCTTAAGGGCAGGAGCATGCTCTTAAGATTCTGTGGCCCATGTGATTCAATCTCTAGCCTTCCTTTTCTGTACCTTCTATGATCTTCCCTGTGAAGAGTCAGTTATAATAAAAATTAGGATGAGGGTGCGAAAACAGAAAATAGTACCTGTTTTCAAGTTAAGTGGGTGTCATGGAGGATGGGGCTTTCCATGACCATTGGATTGTTTTTAACAGTGCCAGCAAAAAAGGGAATTGCTACCACTGTGGAAGCTTCTGTACAGACTGTATCAAACTCCAGATGTTTAACTCTTAGTATCAGCTGCTGTATTTTGCAACTCTGAATGGACCATCTGGAAAATTTTGTCAGAAAAATGGCCTGTGTTCTTGAATGCAGAAGCCAAGTCTTGATTCTCAACTGCACCATCCAAAAGATGGACCTAATCAAAAGTAGAAAGCAGAACTGGATTGATAATTCACTGTGGCCAAGGTAAGGTATCTGGTTGGACAGCCTACTACAATGTTGGATGACTACTTGAGAAAAGAATGACATGTCAGGGATACTTGGTGAAGGTTGCTGATGAATTGGGCTGAAGTGTTGGCAACAGTTGTGGTGTGTCATGCCATACAAAGGTCTCCATAAGAGTGCTGGAGAAAGAGAAGGAGGGGAAAGCACACCATTCACAGGTGGTCTAGCTAAAGATGCCAATAAGATCAGAACAGATGCAATGGCAGCACCAAAAAGATTCAGGACTCAAGCCCACAGGGGAAAAAAGCTATTTTCTTAATTGTTTCCAAAATATTGGAGAAAAATAAAGGTTGTTCTTTAACCAGAATGACATTCTAGATATCCCAGAATAATACAGTCTCAGCCTCATATTGAATTTGGATAAACTTTTCATTTATTCATTCTAATAGTCTTGGAAAATGGAAAGCGACAAAAGGGTATGGCACTCTTAGCAGACTTGAACAGTGTGTCACTGCTTACTGAGAAACATCAATGTCCTTTTGAGGGGTAATAAGGGCAGCAACTGTCTTATGTCAGGTGAACAGGTGGTCAACACTTCCACAGAGGGCAGTTCTGGTTACCTTTTGCCAAGGTGCATGCTGTAGTTTAGAATCCCCTACATAGCCAGGACTGTGTGGTGAGGGAGTCTCTTCTTCCTTATAGCAGCTATTTGCACATGCAAGCTCAGATTTGGTTGGACAGCACGTTTGTACAGTTCTGTGACTGTGTGCATGGATTGCTTCTGATAATTCAGTGCAGAAGTGTCAATTATAAATGAAGTAATTAAAATAAACATTTCATCTGGATATTCCAGGAAATAAGCTTTTATTGTGAAAACACACAAAAATGTTTGTTAATTCAATCTATTTTTAAATGTTAATTTATATTGCATACAAATAATCAATTTATACTATAGAATAATAATGAGGACTCCAGTGCATTTGGAAAGTTGGCTTTCCTCTAATACCATTCTGTTAGGAAGTACAGCTGTACATTTTCCTCTGGTAATATTATGTAAGATATGGAAGGCTTTGCCCCTTTTGCTTAACTTGATTTTGATCAATTAGATTTTGTATGGAATGTAGCAGATTCCAATGGCCAAGTTTTCCATGGCCATTTTGAATAATCTGCTGAAAATCCTAGGTACAATCTGTAACCCATGACTGCACAATACTACTGTATTTTTCACTCTATAAGACGCACCTGACCATAAGACGCACCTAGTTTTTAGAGGAGGGATCCATGGAAAGCTTCCTGATAATCACAGGAACATTCCCCATCACTTCCCCATGGGCTTCATTAAAAGACGGGTTGCCATTTGAAAACACACACCGACCTGTGATTAACAGCTCTCACCTGTGCCGGAGGAGGGGGGCGGAGCAGGGTGCGCCGAGCACGTGCCGGCCAGGCATGGTGCAGCCGGGCCGGCAGCGTGCCGGCGGTGGTCTTCTGGGCGGCACGGCTGGCGGCGGCAGGTCTTCCCGGGCGGTGGGGGTGAGCAGTCCGTCTCTCCGTGCGGCTGGCGGGTTAAAGCCTGCAACAATTCCTCCTCCGCACTGCTCCCCCTGAGTGGCACAGCTCTCACTTGCGCCAAAGGGGGGGGGCAGAGCAGTGCGTGCTGATCGCGTGCCGGCCAGGTGGTGTCACGTGGTGCAGGCGGGCTGGCAGTGTCCTGGGCGTCGGGCACACACACATTTGCTCTATAAGACGCACAGACATTTCCCCTTACTTTTGAGGGGGAAAAGTGCGTCTTATAGAGCAAAAAATACGGTATATTATATCCAATAATGTTTCTAGTTTTCTAGTCACAATCACATTTGACTGTACTCCTCCCAGTGCTCTTTCAAATCTGTTAGACTTAGGTTTTGCTGGATTCTGATAAATGAACGTTAGTATATGCATTTCAGTTTCTATATGGCTGATGGGAAACAAGAGTGGTATGGCAATGATGTGGCAAGTATCTGTGCAACAGAAAGGGCATTAAGCCGTATAGACACACAGTATTCCTTATTTTGGTCTCAAAACTTCCTAGGAACTGGTGCTTTGACTTTTCAGATGGAATACCTACCAGCAGAAATCCTGGGGGGTAAAGATCCTCCCCTTGACAGAGGATGTGGGGCTGGAATGTTATTTAAAAATCCTTCCCTCAGGAATCTTGGGCAAAGAGACTGCACCCCAATGGTCGGGAAGGATCCTTATAAAAGATAAAAATGGTCATTAATTAAACAGGCAGTTATTTTAGTTGCTGAATAGAAGCTGCTGGTTTCAAAGAAAGAGAGAGAGCCCACAAGAATATTGTTAAAGGCTAATTTTAGCTAGTTGTAGTCAGGCTAAACATCTATAAGCTTATGCAGTCAAAAAGTCAGGTCATGCAGGCAAAACATAGAAATATTATTTGAGGGATTACATGTTATGACAATACAATGACAAACATTTCAAATGAGAAAAATGAAAGAGTTTGAAGTTTTTAATTAGTTCAACACATTGGGCCTGTTTAGATGCAATGAAAGCAAATCATGAGTTAATTAACCCATCATTTGTTCTGGTGCATGCTGCACATGAGCTGCTGCCATTTTAATTATGCAACCTCAAGTATGACCAAGAATTTATCCATGATGTCCAGAGTTGGACATCTTGGGTTGATAACTGGATAAACAACCCAAATTTTACTAAACAACCAGGTTCTAAAGTCATGGAATAACCCTGATCAGTCTGATTGAAGGCTGCATATTTAAAGACAGACTAGCACATGCCATTGGTTAGTTAACCCTTGATCGTTTTTTGAGGTGCTAATTCTTGAAATGTTAAGAAAATATTTATGCTGGTTTCTTAAATGGACAAGTAATTAAGAAAAAAGATTGCCCTACCTCGCAAGTAGAATAAATAAATAAATAAATAAATAAATAAATAAATAAAATTGCTACATGACTTGAACAAGTTCAAGTTCTTTTTTTCTGCCTTCTGCTCTTCTTTACCTTGCACTTAAGAAGAGACTTCCTGGTTGTTAAATCAGAGTGTGCTACTTAAGGTATCACTGGAGTTGGTTGTTAACAAACAGCTTTTCCTCAAGCCAGGCATGTAAGAGGAGGAGTAAAGTGGGGTGGTGGCTGGGGAGAAGAAAATGTTCAACTTTGAATGGCAATGTCTAACTTTTCATGTACTGTCAGGTAAAGCACAAGGTCCTAATGTTTTCCCCGTGGACTATTATTAAAAGGTTATAATTTTGTTACATTGTTTAATGATATAAATACAGTGGTACCTTGACTCACGAACGCCTTGGTTTACAACCAAAATTGGATTGCGAACAATAATTTCAGGAAAATTTTGATGTGGGTTGCGAATTCCACATTGGGTGGTGACCAAGATTGAAGCCATCTCCCCATCCCCCTGAGTGGGGAGATGACCACGATTGCAGTTGCGTTCATGCAGGGAAGATGTACGTGATCATGGGCGCACACCTGCAGGAAAGATGGGTGTAATCTCTGCCATCTCCCCCCTCAACCAGCACAATTGCGGCCATCTCCCCACTCGGTGGGGGGTGGGGAGATTGCCACGATTGTGCTGGGGGTGGGGGGGGTAAGATGGCTGAGATCACACCCATCTCTCCCTCCCCCAGCACAGCCTGTCCACGCCCGTCTCTTCCCCCCACCCCAGTGTGCCAGGATGATGGGCATGTGCAGCGATGACAGGCGCGATCTTGGTTGTGCTGGGAGGGTGGGGAGATGGCCGTGCTTGTGTTCAGGGTGGGGAGTGGGGGAGATGGGGGGTGGGAGAGATGGCCGTGATATTTCTTGTTCTTTGTCACTTTGCTTCACATTTTTCTGATTTAAAAAAAATGGTTACAGAACAGATTAACCTTATTTACATTGAACCTTATGGGGAAATTTAACTTGGCTCACAACCAATTTGGGTCATGACCAGAGTCCTGGAATGGATTAAGTTCGTGAGCCAAGGTACCACTGTATAACTCAGATATAACTGATGGTTAGTCTCTGCCCAAAACTGTAAGGATTTGATCTTGAAACTATGGAAAGACAAAATAGAAATTAATGCCTAATGTCTAATTTACAAATGAAATTGATACTGAAATACTACAGACCACGTTATAGGTCATAAAGAACATTGCCAAACCTTCTGCACTGTATTCAAGCAGGATGAGTGGTGAGGATCCAATTACTACAGGATGTAATTGGACCAAATTCTTGCTGAAACTTTTGTGGCTTCAGAGTTGTGGCTTTTATGGATGTGCAAGCATTGAGTGAATATGTAGATATTAATATTTCTGTAGAACAGTGAGAATTCATACCACTATGATGACACAAGTCTTAAGCCATAATGATTAGTACCTTGGTAAATATACTAACATGATGGGATGGGGAAAGCAAGCTGTATTGTGCGGGGACAGCCAGTTACCTCTGTTTTCCAAATCATCAATACCCTAATGTTATTACGGTAAATAAAACAGTGTCGTTTATTAGACACGTTCACTTCTGCTTGTGGTCTAGTCAGTTTATCTATTATTGAAAAGTGCTACCCGACTGAGTATGAAGATAAGCACTCATCGTATCATGGATAAAACAAATAGATCATGACAAGTCTAAAAATGAGGAAATGAGAGCCCTACAATAGTATGGGGGGGGGAGCTGACCACATCTTTCAGCCTTTTAGAAATGTTAATCAGTTGGGTTATATAAACTAATGAAAGAGAAAAAGGGAAAATCAAGTAGCAATAGTTTCAATGAAAGGAGCAAGAAAAGATGCAATCATATTGCCAATACTTTTTATTTGAATACAGAATCTTTACCCCCTCTTAGATACACACCACAATATGTTGAAGGGTGTCGGGGAAACTATAAGAAATGCTAGTTTGATCTGGTCTCCTAGCAGGGTCACCCAAGATGAATTGTCAAAGCTGAGTCACCAGACTAAGATGCATCCACTCTTTTCAGGAGTAACAGTCACTCCAGGAGTAGAGAATGGCTATATCTAATGGTAACAGGGGCAGAAAAACTCCTGAAGAGCAGCTATTGAGCAGTAGTAATATTGAAGACCAAAGGATGAATTGGAAACAAGGCACTGGAGGGAAGTTTTGTGAGTATCCTGTACACAGAAAGACAAAGAGATGGGTCTTCGATCAAATCAAGTCAAAACTTGTCTGAAAATAAACATGGCAAGACTGAGGCTGTTGTATAGCAGGCATATCATGGGAAGGCAAGATGCACTGGAAATGACAATAATGTTAGGGAAAATCAAAGGCAGGGAAAGAAAGGAAAGTGATGGATCAATTTCATAAAGGAAACCACAGCCTTGAGTTCACAAGAGCTGAGCAAGGCTATTAAGGACAGTACATTTTGGAAGACATTCATTCATAGGATCATCTTAAGTTGGAGAAAACTTGATGGAACCATAACAAGAATACAGAATCCCTTGCATATATTAAAAAGAACCTGAAATACATTTTAGGAGACAAACAATGAAACTTGAAAAATGTATTCTCTTGACAGTACTCTTTTTACATTATTTTGAAAAATGTGTATAATTGTTTCCAACTGGTAACTTTAGGGAGAATATTACTTGGTCTTTAAAAGAATCTAATTTCTAAGGTTTTTTTATTTCATAAACATGAGTGTTTCTTATGGAAGTGATACATTTTTTAGATGGCAGGAATTTAGCATGTATAAGGGAAGATTAAATAGTATTAAAATAAATGTCTTCCTTTGCTTAATATGTTTCTTGTATGTAAGGGGTACAGTCCCATTACTCTGAGAAAGTTGGGTATATACATGGGATTTTTCAAGGTTCCTAAGAACTCTGAGAGATTGTAACTATCTATGAAGGGAGAGCTACCTTTTCCGGTTTAAAAGTATAGTATCCTAGGGCATTTGATGACTAGATTGAAATATCAAATGACACCTCCTGTCTATGGTTTTTATATTGTATCCATGTTAGTTTCAAATTTAATCTTTTCAAACCATGTAGTGATGAGGATAACAATACTATTAACTAACTATGGAGAAAAAAAAATAAAAAACATGCCTCTCTAAGATCCATACACCATCACTGTTGCAGCCCATGGAATATGCTGAACATAGTAAGATCCAATAGTTTTATGCCTGAACACATAAAAATACCTGTTTAACACCACTTGTATCTATGTGTAACTGGAGGCCTTTAAAGTGCAAAATATGAAATGGAATAGTAATGAAGAAAATAGAATATGAGACATGGAAACCCAATTTAACAACAAAATAGCTACTTATGTTTAAATAAAAATTGAGCTTCCTATTGATAATCTCTTGTAATGTATATATTCTCCAAAATTTAGTTTAATGTATATTGGACACAGAACTACTGCTAGTCACTTTAAAGGTTTGTGGCACGGAATCACAGGGTATAAATCTCCATAAATTTTCATAAACTAATTCTTGTATGAATGTACAAATTTAGCAATAATTATTAGGCTATATTTAAATTACACAGAAGTTAGAGTTATACAAAAGTGAATTTTAATTAAATATATTTGTCAATTAATTTGCATCCCACCTGAACATCATCCTAATTAATTAGTTTATCTTCAGTTACAATTAATTTTCAATGACTGTGAAAACATGCACAAACAAATTGGCTGGAAGGTGTGTTAGGTAATCTACTTGCCATGAAGTTTTTAAGGGAATCACAGCATACGGGATTGGAGGTCCCTTCTATCCTCAGCTATGCCTCCTTGCAATCATTAGCACTGTACAGCAATTAAGTTTTAAAAAGCACTTTCAATTGGTCTGAACTGACAGCTTACTTGCCAAACAGATGGGGTTTGTGGCATGTAAGAAAGGGATGGTAAAGCTTTTTCTCCTTAGCTCTGATCCCTGACTTTCCCCCACATTTCTTCCATATGAATGAAACTTCAGGGCAAAGGGGAAAAAAACCCTTTAATTGCATCAATGGACAATCAAGGTTCTAGGAAACAGATTCATGATGGGGACCTCATAGGCACAGGCCTAGCAATGCATGTATTTTGATTGTAATTCTCTGGAGAGGAACAGATTGACAGTAGGAGAGACAGGTTGCTTACCTGTAACTGTTGTTCTTCAAGTGGTCATCTGTGCATTCACACATATGGCCTCTGCGGTAGATAAGCTCTCGCAGAGATATATAGGATTGTCTGGGAAGGAGAAAGGAGAGATTTTTCTGCATTTA